TAGTTGTTTCGATAGTGAATTAAGTGATGATTATCTTCGCTTTATATCGAAAAATCACACTGTCAGCATTCTATATGAGCAACAGATTAAACTTTTTGTGATCTCTGCTACTCAAATATGTAGTAGTTGGATCGGAGAAGTTTGGGATAGAATTTATCCCTTTGTTCCATCTATAAAAGCGTAACTGACGTTATTTTTGTATATTGTAATAATAAAAATAAATATGTAAACGATTCTTACCTTCCACGCTGCATCACATAGTGCGGCTTAAAGTACTTGCAACAACTTATTGGGAAACAGCTTACAAAAGCCTACAATCGTAAATCGTAATCGTAATCGTGCGAAACTCGCTCAAAGCTCCAAAAGCTCTTCCAACTTACATCTTCACATTGGATTCCATTCTCATCAAATACGAATCTGAACATTTCCATCATTGTTCTCGGACCCATCCATAGATCAACCAATCGGCCAACAGAGTTGCGATAATCGATATCCCATTTGTAAATTTCAGTATTCATGAATCCGTTGCCAGCGATGAAATAGAGCACCATATGTTGTTTCATTTCCCTAGTCAAATTTTCAAGTCGTTGATCTATATCTGAAAAGTTGTGGCTGTATGGATCTTATTCTCTCGGATAATTTCTAGAATAATATACCTGAGAAAAGGACATCATAGTTCAAATGATCGGGATTTTTTGGACAAACATGAAGGCTAGGTAGTAGCATTGTCGAATTCTATGCGATGAAATATGATTTTTAAAAATTCCTAAAAATGTTTCCCACCTGTCCCACCATAGTGCCCACCTGTTTTACGATTAGCTTCGTTGTCGTTTGAAATCCGAAGTAATCTCTTAACACCTGGTATGTGAAAAGGGTGAAAATCACTGCTACTAGGAGAAGTACACCCGACCATAGTATTCGTTGTGACGGGTTTGACTTGGTCTCAAGAATTTCTCATAAATCAACGATCACGAAAATTTGCAAACATGAACCTTTTTGAACATTAAAGCTCCATGAAATGGCAAGGATTTGTGGGTCAACGATGCACATTTTTGTGGTTCTGTACCGTTGCTGGTA